AGATGAGAGAAAAGGAGGAGGACGGAGAGAAGAGAGAGAAAAGAGAGAGGGAGGAAGGAGAGAGGAGCGAGAGGGGGGGAGAAAGAGGGAGAGAAAAGAGAGAGAAAGAGGGAGAGAAGAGAAAAGAGAGAGGGAGAAAGAGGGAGAGAAAAGAGGGAGAAAGACAGAGAGATGAGAGAGAAAGAGAGAGGGAGAATGGAGGGAGGAGCGAGAGAGAGGGAGAAAGAGGGAAACAAGAGAAAAAGAGAGAAGGAGAGAGAGAGAGAGAGAGAGAGGGACATATGAGACCAGGTCAGAATAAACGAGGGAGAGAGCTGAGAAAAGGAGAGAGGAATGAAGAGGTAAAAAGAGCGAAAGAACACAGACTGAGGAAGAAGAGGTAGAGGAGGAGAGAGAGAGGAAAAGAGATGGGGAAAGAGATGGGGAAAGAAGAAGGAATACGAGAGAAGAGAGAGAAGGAGAAAGAGAGAGAGAAGAGAGAGAAAAGAGAGGGAGATATGAAGAGGTAAAGAGAGCGAAATATAAACGGAGGAAGAAGAGAAAGAAGAGAGAGAAAAGAGACGGAGGAGTGAATCTGATCCACAAACGTCGTCATTAAAAAAAAAAAAAAAAGATCAAACATCAAATTCGTTGAACAAAGAAACAGAATCAATATTTTTTTTTTATAAAACACACGAGAGCCTCAGCTGCTCCGCTCCACCTCGTGACATCATCAGGGGGGTCGTCCACATCTGCTCCTCTGGGTTTTTTAAACGATGAAAAACCCGCAGCTAAACAAACGCGACAGTTATGAGCCCGATTTAAACTGCGTCACTGTTCAGAGCAGCAGCTGGAGTCCTGGCGCCCCCTGCTGGTCGTTTCACTAAACACTTAAAACAATAAAACAATAAAGGAGCAAAAACCGCGTGTCGTTCGTTCAGTCGTTTTTCAAAATAAAACTAAAAATAAGAAAATGAAAAAAAAACAACAACTGAGACCGAGACCAGGACCAGACCAGGACTGAGACCAGACCAGGACCAGACCAAGACTGAGACCAGACCAGGACCAGACCAAGACTGAGACCAGACCAGGACCAGACCAAGACTGAGACCAGACCAGGACCAGACCAGACCAAGACCAGACCAGACCAGGACCAGACCAAGACTGAGACCAGACCAAGACTGAGACCAGACCAGGACCAGACCAGACTGAGACCAGACCAGGACTAGACCAAGACTGAGACCAGACCAGGACCAGACCGAGACTGAGACCAGACCAGGACCAGACCAAGACTGAGACCAGACCAGGACTGAGTCCAGACCAGGACCAGACCAAGACTGAGACCAGACCAGGACTAGACCAAGACTGAGACCAGACAGGACCAGACCAAGACTGAGACCAGACCAGGACTGAGTCCAGACCAGGACCAGACCAAGACTGAGACCAGACCAGGACCAGACCAAGACCAGACCAAGACTGAGTCCAGACCAGGACCAGACCAGGACTGAGACCAGACCAGGACCAGACCAAGACTGAGACCAGACCAGGACCAGACCAAGACCAGACCAAGACTGAGTCCAGACCAGGACCAGACCAGGACTGAGTCCAGACCAGGACCAGACCAAGACTGAGACCAGACCAGGACCAGACCAGGACTGAGACCAGACCAGGACCAGACCAGACCAGGACCAGACCGAGACTGAGTCCAGACCAGGACCAGACCGAGACTGAGACCAGACCAGGACCAGACCAAGACTGAGACCAGACCAGGACCAGACCAGCACCAGACCGAGACTGAGACCAGACTGAGACCAGACTGGGACCAGACCGGAGGCTCAGAGCCCACGACAGGGCCAGAGCTCGAAGCTCAGAGTCCTCTCTGGTCCTCCCTCTCTGGTCCGGCTCTGGTCCCGGACCTGGATCAGTCCTGGTTCAGTCCGACATCACAGTCACAGTTTAAGTCACGTAAACGGGAAACGGCCGTTATCCTGTTTTTTTCAATTTTTCATTTAAACACAAAATCGAAAACTGAAAAAACAAATCTTTATCTGTTTTTTCATTTTGGTTTTGGAGACAAATAATGAAGAAAATCGTTGTTTTTTTGTTTTCTTATGTTTGTTTTTTTATTGAAAAACGAATGAACGAACGACACACAGATTTTACGCAACCTGTAACTTTTCTCGAGGAGGATCTGCTTCTGCTCGTCTCCACGGAGATGTTTTCGCTTTGCTCGATATGTTCCGCAGTACGACATCATTAAATCTCCGTGGAGACAAGCAGCGACGCCATTAGGCCAAGTTACGGGTCAGATCTGCGACGAGGCGAGCAAACCCACAGTAAGAACACTGGTTTTTTTACTGTGTTTATGAGCAACGAAAACAGATGAATGATTATAGATTTTAAGAAGTTTTAATGCCGTACTGCGGGACATTACAGGCAAAACGGCGCATCTCCACGGCGACGAGCAGGTGGCAGATCCCGGCCGTCAGAAAAGTTACACAGTGCAGCTTTAAGACCAAATCTTCACTAAGACGACTTGAATTAAGAAAGTTTGATCATGATTTGAGTCAAATTCAGGAAAAGTAAAATAATCTGCCAGTGGAATAAGACGACTTTTTGTTTTTAAAATATAAAAATACATCTTGTTATACTTAAAATTTAAAAAAAACAACTACTTTTTGCACTTAAAATAAGAAATAATAGAATCAAAATAAATCTAATGTTACTTGAATGTTGAATCTCCTCAAATAAAATCAAACGTTCCTAATTTAAGTCATTTTAATTTTGTTATATATTGGGGTTTTTTTTCAGTGTTTTGCCACAATTCATGGGAAAAATCTTCGCGTTGACACATTTTGAAGTTTTATTTACATTGACTCGAAAAGCAGAGGAGGTGAGGCTCTGACGCGAGGCTAAAACGTGTCACGAAATCTATTTAAAATCCAGAGAGAATATTTAAAATCCAGAGAGAATATTTAAAATCCAGAGAGAATATTTAAAATCCAGAGAGAATATTTAAAATCCAGAGAGAATATTTAAAATCCAGAGAGAATATTCAACGGCGTTTGAACGAGTGCAGTGCAGAGGTGCTACATACAACTGCTACCGAAGCGTCACGGGAAGGACCAGGAGCCGCCAAGCGAACCACACTGCGTCTAGAAGAGCACGAAGAAGAAAAAAATAAACGGGACGACGCTTCGCACGAAACCACGAAAATATAATTCAACACGAGTTCACGAAGAGGTTTTTTGTTGTTTTGTTTTGGAGCCGAGAGATCATTTCAGACGCGTTTCAGATTTCAGGTTTCGTTTAAAGATTCGCCGATGTCGTCGCTCTGAAACCCGCTGAAAAAACTCATCTAAATCTAAAACTGTGGACTGAAGTGATTTGAACTCGTGTGAATTAGATTTGAACTAGGGATGGGCATTGATCATTAAGAATTTTGTCGATTATGTTCGTTTTTAATGGACAAACTGAATGTATGTTTGTGTGTCGTGACCAAACAGGTGTGTACATGTGTCTCTGCATCAGAAGGAGCGAGACACAAACAGTGGGTCAGTCTGTAACGAACCGAAGCACAAATGTGGATTTAACCAGGATTTGGACAAGAAATTCCACACTTTCCGTTTCGATCGGGACAAGTGTGAGTCCATGTGCACAGTGTAAAATAGGGTTATAACTTTTTCAACTTTTTTTTCCTGCATCATGTTTGGATGAACATTTTGGTATAATTGAAGAAACCAAACTCCATTTTCAACACTCTTTAAAAAAAGTCCCAGCGAAACAAAAAAATATTAAATCCACATCACAGCCGATGATATGAAATGTGAAACTGTGTTAAGTTTTCACAAGGACCATGACAAGTCAATGTGACTGAAAAAGGATCAATAATAAGTTGTTCTGCATCATAATAAACTGGAGTTTCATTTTCTATTCTTGTTTCACTTTATAAACCATTTGATTCATCGTTCGTTAACCAACACTGACAATCATCATTTGGACTTTTAGTTTCCTATTTTAAATGATCTTTACCCTGATCATGTGTTTTGTTCCTGTGTGATTAAAGAGAAATTTGCCTTTGGTTATTTTATGATTGAACAGATATGAACCTTCTTACAGTTTTATTCTGGTTGTTGCTTTACCAAAACTTCATTTTGAGTCTGGGGAGACTTTTTTCAAAAATATGCCCCACTGAAGATCAGTTCATTTCATTACTGGCAAAAGTTCATCAAAATATGATACTGAGGTTGTAAAAAAAGTTATAACACTAATGTACAAAACAGCACATGTTTCTGTGTCCAGTGGGAAAAAGTTCATCAGGACACAGAAAACATGAAAAGGTTTTTCCAGGTGAGAGTCGCTCAGTGTGGATGACGAGGCCCCGCCCCCCTCCCCCCGTACGCTGTCCTGGTTTTGACAAACACAAATCTGGTCACACTGACCTGTATTCACCTGAGTCATGTCTTTTAATCTGACACAAGTTGAACCACATCAGCGACACAAGAGCTGGAGTTTTATCTTCACTTAGTTTATGTAAATTAGTGATGTGGTTTTAAGTTTTGTTTCTGTGAGATTTGAACAAAACTGAATTAAACACATTATAATGTCAAACAGCTGATGTGGATCTAGAGTCGTTATGTTTATATGTCGTAAAGTTGAATTTATTTATGCAGATTAGTGCAGATAGTAATAATAATGATGATCATTTTAATATAAAAACGTTAATGATTAATCGATAATCGATCGTTAATTCTTCCGACGATCGATTAAGAAAATATAATCAAATGCCCGTCCCTAGTTTGCACATTGGAGTTTCGTGTCGTCGTCACTTTAAACACGTGAGGTCGGAAATACAAAGTGATGAAGAGCGATTTTCTTCTGCAGGTCCAGAGGTTTTCCCGGCGAAGTCCTCGTGGTCAGAGTCAGAATCACGTGGAAACTGAACTAAAGACGAACTCCAAACCCGACGTGTGACGACGTGTGAAGCACAGAGAGAAACTGGAGAGGGACGACGAGGGGGGGGGCGCGGGGTCGGAGGTCACACGGGGTTTTTCTTCTACTGCGGCAGGACTTTCAAGATGGCGTTCACCTCCTCGGCGACGGTCGTCAGGGCGAACTCGAACTGGTCCTGAGAGAGAAAGAGAAAGAAGAGAGACAGAAAGAAAGAAAGAGGGAGGAGAGAAGAGAGAGAAGAGAGAGGAAAGAGATGAGAGAGAAAAGAGGGAAGAGAGAGGAGAGATGAGAGAAGCAAGAGAGAGAGAGAAAGAAAGAGGGAGGAGAGATGAGAGAAGAGAGAGGAGAGAAAAAAGAGAGAGGGGAGAGAAGAGGGAAGAGAGGGAGGAGAGAAGAGAGAGAAGAGGGAAGAGGGGAGAGAGAGAGAGAGAGAGAGAGAGAGAGAGAGAGAGAAGAGAGGAGAGAGAAGAGAGAAGAGAGAGAGAGAGAGAGAGAGAGAGAGAGGAGAGAGGAGAGAGAGAGAGAAGAAGAGGAGAGAGAAGAGAGGAGAGAGAAGAGGGAGGAGAGGAGAGAGAGAAGAGAGAGGAGAGAGAAGAGAGAGAGAGAGAAGAGAAAAGAGAGAAGAGAGAGGACAGAGAAGAGAAGAGAGAGAAGAGAGGAGAGAGAGGAGGGAGGAGAGGAGAGAGAAGAGAGAGAGAGAGAGAGAGAGAGAGAGAGGAGGAGAGAGAAGAGAGAGAAGAGAGAGAGAGAAGAGAGGAGAGAGAGGAGGGAGGAGAGAGAGAGAAGAGAGAAGAGAGAGAGAAGAGGGAGAAGAGGGAGGAGAGAGAAGAGGGAGAGGAGAGTCAGTGTGTTTGTGAGTCAGACTCTTTATTGTCACATTTCTATGATTATTTGGAGATGAATTCGTGTAAACTTCTGTAAAATCATCAGAGTCAAATAAACAAAGCACAGAACAAAAGTGTAATGTTCTGTGTAAGACTCCGTGTGCCCCAGGGCAGCTGTGACTCCAGAGGGAGAGCAGCAGTGACGGACAGCGGGGTTGTGTGAGCGGACATTTACTCACTGCAGAAGAAACCAGGACAAACCTTAGTCTGGACCATCCCCGGTCTCTGGTCCCTCAGATGTTCCAGTGTGGCGGCGATGTCGATCTCTTTGGCTCCTGTCACACAAATCACATGATCATGACGACGATGACGATTATTATTTTATGATTTGTGTAAAAGGCCGTTCACACCAAAGCCTCAAAAAACGCCTTGACGCCTTTTCATTTGAGTTCAGACGCCCCCGACGCTCGTGTCTTTGACGTCGCGGACAAACGGGAGAAAAATACTTGACGCGCGTCCGTTGCCCTGGAAACAAGAGCCCGGTCCTGGACTTTTCCCGAAACAATGTCAGACCAGACTGAGAGACTTTAGTGTTTTTATGACATGAAACATCAGCGACTGGAGCGTGTTTATATTTATACTCCACTAATGACACTGGATCAGTCCTGGTCTAGTCCTGGTCTAGTCCCGGTCTAGGTGTGGTTTAGTCTCGGTCTATTCAGGGTCTAGTCCTTGTTTAGTCCCGGTCTAGTCCTTGTTTAGTCTCCGTCTAGTCCTGGTCCAGTCCTGGTGTAGGCAAGGCAAGGCAAGGCAAGTTTATTTGTACAGCACAATTCGTACACAAAGTAATTCAAAGTGCTTTACAGAATAAGAAATACATTAAAATCATAATAAAAACAAATCAAAACATAAATAATCATGAAGATTAAAATTAAAAAATAGAGACATAAATTGGAGAGAAGAGTGCGGAATGAAAACCTTTCAGTTATTTGCACAGTTAAACAGAAATGTTTTGAGTCTGGATTTTAAACAGCGTCACAGAAGAGTCTGTCTCACATGTTCAGACTGTTCCAGGTTTTAGCTGCATGAACCTGAAACTCTGACTCCCCTTGTTTAGTCGTGACTCTGGGCACCAGCAGGAGGTCGGTCCCTGAGCTCCTCAGAGTGCGAGATGGTTCATATGACACTAACATGTCACAGATGGACTTTGGTGCTCGGCCATGGAGACACTTGTACAAACAGAGCTGCTTTAAAGTCTATTCTCTGAGGCACAGGAGCCAGAGCAGAGACCTGAGCACAGGACTTATGTGCTCGTACTTCCTAGTTCGAGTCAGGACCCGAGCTGCAGCGTTCTGGATGTTCTGGATGTTCTGGATGTTCTGGATGTTCTGCAGCTGTCTCACAGCTCGTTTGGAGAGACCAGTGAGCAGACCATTACAGTATCTAAACCTACTGGAGACAAACGCATGGATAAGTTTCTCCAAGTCTGATTTAGACAGTAAACCCTTTGATTTTTGCTATGTTTTTTTTAGATGGTAAAAGGCTGCAGATGTTATTGATTTTATGTGACTGTTAAAGTTCAAGTCTGAGTCCATTATTACCCCTAGATTTCTTGCCTGATTTGAAGGTTTTAGAGAGAGAGACTGGAGGTGACTGCTGACACTGTCCCTTTGTTTCTGTGGACCAAACACTATGACTTCAGTCTTGTCAGAGTTTAGCTGGAGAAAGTTTGTTTTGCATCCACACACTGATCTGTTGGATGCAGTGACCAAGTGACTCCACTGGTCCATAGTCTCCTGCTGCCAGAGAGACGTAGATCTGAGTGTCATCTGCATAATTGTGGTACGACACGTTATTGCTGCTTATTAACTGGCCTAATGGCAGCATGTAGAGATTGAACAACAGGGGGCCCAGGATTGACCCCTGAGGCACCCCACAGGTCAGGGCCATGTCATCTGAGACACAGTTTTCCAATTTCAAACAAAATACTTCCTGTCTTCTAGATAGGACTTGAACGAGTTTAGTACAGTACCAGAGATGCCCACCCAGTCCTCTAGTCTCTGTAAGAGGATCCCATGATCGACAGTGTCAAAAGCAGCACTCAGATCTAACAGGATCAAGACTGAGACTTTGCCTGCATCAGTGTTCAGGCGGATGTCATTTGTCACCTTGATAAGAGCAGTGTCAGTGCTGTGGTGGGCTCTAAAACCTGACTGGAAAACATCAAAGGAGTTGTTCATTTGGAGAAAGTTCGTAAGCTGTTGGTAAACAGCTTTTTCAAGGACTTTGCCAAAAAACGGCAGATTTGAGAGTAGTCGTTGAGTAGTCCTGGTTTAGTCCTGGTCCAGTCCTGGTCCAGTCCTGGTGTAGTCCTGGTTTAGTCCTGGTGTAGTCCTGGTTTAGTCCCGGCCTAGTCCTGGTTTAGTCTTGGTCCAGTCCTGGTGTAGTCCTGGTCCAGTTCTGGTTTAGTCCTGGTGATCGTCTTGGTGATTGTGGTGTTTATATTTATTCTCCGTTCATGTTTGTGGTTCTGGTTCTGGGGTTTTTCTTCCTGATAATAACGTCGCTGCGTCTCTGGATACTCGTCCCTGATTGGTCGACGCTGTGGGTCTGACGCGAAAAGTTCAGCATTTTCAACTTCTTGACGCTGACGCCTCGGACGCGCCGCAAAAACGCAGGACGCTCTAGACGCGCGTCCACATCGACTTTACATAGAAACCGGACGCTTTGACGTGAACGAACCTTAAGATTCATTGAAACAGAATCATCGTTTCAGTACAAAGTTGTTTAAAGTCACTCTCACCTTTGGCCATTTTGTTCAGGACCATGTCGACGAGGATGTAGGTGCCGGTCCTGCCCGCGCCGTCACTGCAACACAACAACACACAACGTCACACAACAACACACAACAACACACAACAACACACAACAACAACAACAACACACAACAACAACAACACACAACGTCACACAACAACAACAACAACAACAACACACAACAACACACAACAACACACAACAACACACAACGTCACACAACAACACAACAACAACAACAACACACAACAACACACAACAACACACAACAACACAACAACAACAACAACACACAACACGACATCATATTATATCACACAATATCACATGACATCACATGAGATCATATGAGATCTCAGATACCAGAGGTAACATTTAAAGAGGGAGTATTTCTCTGGAGTATTTCTCTGGAGTATTTCTCTGGAGTATATATCTGAAAATATATTTCTGGAGTATTTTCTTGGAGTATTTCTTTGGAGTATTTCTTTGGAGTATTTCTCTGGAGTATTTATCTGGAGTATTTCTTTGGAGTATTTCTCTGGAGTATATATCTCTGGAGTATTTCTCTGGAGTATATTCTGGATATTTCTCTGGATTTCTGGAGTATTTCTCTGGAGTATATTTCTGGAGTATTTCTCTGGAATATTTCTCTGGAGTATATCTCTGGAGTATTTCTTTGGAGTATATATCTGGAGTATTTCCCTGGAGTATATTTCTGGAGTATTTCTCTGGAGTATATTTCTGGAGTATTTTCTCTGGAGTATATATCTGGAGTATTTCTCTGGAGTATATATTTCTGGAGTATTTCTCTGGAGTATTTCTCTGGAGTATATATCTCTGGAGTATTTCTCTGGAGTATATATCTGGAGTATTTCTCTGGAGTATATATCTGGAGTATTTCTCTGGAGTATATCTCTGGAGTATTTCTCTGGAGTATTTCTTTAGAGTATTTCTCTGGAGTATTTCTCTGGAGTATTTCTCTGGAGTATATATCTGGAATATATTTCTGGAGTATTTCTTTGGAGTATTTCTTTGGAGTATTTCTCTGGAGTATTTCTCTGGAGTATATCTTTGGAGTATTTCTCTGGAGTATTTCTCTGGAGTATATATCTCTGGAGTATATATCTCTGGAGTATTTTCTGGAGTATTTCTCTGGAGTATTTCTCTGGAGTATATATCTCTGGAGTATATTTCTGGAGTATTTCTCTGGAGTATATTTCTGGAGTATTTCTCTGGAGTATTTCTCTGGAGTATGTATCTGGAGTATTTCTTTGGAGTATATATCTGGAGTATTTCTCTGGAGTATATATCTCTGGAGTATATTTCTGGAGTATTTCTCTGGAGTATATTTCTGGAGTATTTCTCTGGAGTATATATCTCTGGAGTATATTTCTGGAGTATTTCTCTGGAGTATTTCCCTGGAGTATATATCTCTGGAGTATATTTCTGGAGTATTTCTCTGGAGTATATATCTCTGGAGTATTTCTCTGGAGTATATATCTGGAGTATATATCTCTGGAGTATTTCTCTGGAGTATATATCTGGAGTATTTCTCTGGAGTATGGACTTTTCTCTGGAGTATATATCTGGAGTATATATCTCTGGAGTATATATCTGGAGTATTTCTCTGGAGTATATCTCTGGAGTATTTCTTTGGAGTATTTCTCTGGAGTATTTCTTTGGAGTATTTTTCTAGAGTATTTCTCTGGAGTATTCTTTGAGTATTTCTCTAGAGTATTTGTCTGGAGTATTTCTTTGGAGTATTTCTCTAGAGTATTTCTCTGGAGTATATTTCTCTGGAGTATATATCTCTGGAGTATATTTCTGGAGTATTTCTCTGGAGTATATATCTCTGGAGTATATTTCTGGAGTATTTCTCTGGAGTATTTCCCTGGAGTATATATCTCTGGAGTATATTTCTGGAGTATTTCTCTGGAGTATATATCTCTGGAGTATATTTCTCTGGAGTATATTCTGGAGTATATATCTCTGGAGTATTTCTCTGGAGTATATATCTGGAGTATTTCTCTGGAGTATATTTCTGGACTATTTCTCTGGAGTATATATCTGGAGTATTTCTCTGGAGTATATATCTGGAGTATTTCTCTGGAGTATATCTCTGGAGTATTTCTTTGGAGTATTTCTCTGGAGTATTTCTTTGGAGTATTTTTCTAGAGTATTTCTCTGGAGTATTTCTTTGGAGTATTTCTCTAGAGTATTTGTCTGGAGTATTCTTTGGAGTATTTCTCTAGAGTATTTCTCTGGAGTATATTTCTCTGGAGTATATATCTCTGGAGTATATTTCTGTAGTATTTCTCTGGAGTATATTCTCTGGAGTATATATCTGGAGTATTTCTCTGGAGTATATATCTGGAGTATTTCTCTGGAGTATATCTCTGGAGTATTTCTCTGGAGTATATATCTGGAGTATATATCTCTGGAGTATTTCTCTGGAGTATATCTCTGGAGTATTTCTTTGGAGTATTTCTCTGGAGTATTTCTTTGGAGTATTTCTCTGGAGTATTTCTCTGGAGTATTTCTCTGGAGTATTTCTCTGGAGTATATTTCTCTGGAGTATTTCTTTGGAGTATTTCTCTAGAGTATTTCTCTGGAGTATATTTCTCTGGAGTATTTCTCTGGAGTATATTTCTGTAGTATTTCTCTGGAGTATATATCTCTGGAGTATATATCTGGAGTATTTCTCTGGAGTATATATCTGGAGTATTTCTCTGGAGTATTTCTTTGGAGTATTTCTCTGGAGTATTTCTCTGGAGTATTTCTCTGGAGTATTATCTGGAGTATTTCTCTGGAGTATATTCTCTGGAGTATATTTCTGGAGTATTTCTCTGGAGTATATATTTCTGGAGTATTTCTCTGGAGTATATATCTGGAGTATTTCTCTGGAGTATTTCTCTGGAGTATATCTCTTTGGAGTATTTCTCTGGAGTATATTTCTCTGGAGTATTTCTCTGGAGTATTTCTCTGGAGTATATTTCTCTGGAGTATTTCTCTGGAGTATATTTCTCTGGAGTATTTCTCTGGAGTATATCTCTGGAGTATTTCTTCTGGAGTATTTCTCTGGAGTATTTCTCTAGAGTATTTCTCTAGAGTATTTCTCTGGATATTTCTCTGGAGTATTTCTCTATTTCTCTGGAGTATATTTCTCTGGAGTATTTCTCTGGAGTATTTCTCTGGAGTATTTCTCTAGAGTATTTCTCTGGAGTATATTTCTCTGGAGTATTTCTCTGGAGTATTTCTCTGGAGTATTTCTCTGGAGTATTTCTCTGGAGTATTTCTCTAGAGTATTTCTCTGGAGTATTTCTCTGGAGTATTTCTCTGGAGTATTTCTCTGGAGTATTTCTCTTAAGTTTTCACTCTAACACGTCACATATTTCGATGTTCCTTTCATTGTGTTGGAAATTCTATATTTGCCCAAAACAACGTCATTAACATGTTTTATAAGTTTCACTTTCATTTCTGACACTTTTCTCCCTGCACTAAGTCACTCCCCTTTCAGAACATCATCACAACACAATCAGAGTACATCCCACTAAAACTACTGCAGTTATTGTGCGTGTGTGTCTCTGTACGTGTGTGTGTGTGTGTGTGTGTGTGTGTGTGTGTGTGTGTGTGTGTGTGTGTGTACCTGCAGTGTACGATGATGGGGCAGGAGCGTCCGCGGTAACACTTGTTCACTTTCCTGAAAAACAAAAACTCCAAAGTTACGAGCGAAAAACCAAAGAAACCTGAAAACTGAGAAAGAGAAAGAAGAAAAAGAAGAGAAAGAAAGAAGAGAATAAACCTGATCAGAAAGAAGAGAAAGAGAAAAAGAAAAAGAAAGAGAAAGGGAGATGAAAATATTAGTTCACAACAGCACAAACCGGATCTAAACCAGGATTAAACCAAGTGCCGATCTCGACTGAACTAAAGGGAAAAGGAGCTGGAAAACTGCCACTTCATGACATCACAAGGTGGAACAGAGCGTTTGGATAATAAAGAGTTACTCAAACATGTGAATGAAACAAAACACAACTCCAGGTCTGTTTTTGACGATGAAACGACATTAGAACACGATTTAAACCTCACAAGAGTCAGTTTTGTGTAATAAAGGAGCTTTAAAGAAAACACCCTCTTCTTCCTTCTCTTCTTCCTCTTTCTCCTCTTCTTCCTCTTCCTCTTCTTCCTCGTCTCTAAACTCAGACTTTGACTTTGACTTTTTTCTGTTCACTCTGTGATTTTTCAGGCCTGACGTCGACTCACAGCAGGACACTGTTCTGATTCTGTTTCATGAAGGAACCAGGACTAAACCAGAACTAAACCAGGTCTAAACCAGGTCTAAACCAGGTCTAAACCAGGTCTAAACCAGAACTAAACCAGGTCTAAACCAGGTCTAAACCAGGACTAAACCAGAACTAAACCAGGACTGAAAAAGAACTAAACCAGAAGTAAACCAGGTCTAAACCAGGTCTAAACCAGGACTAAACCAGAACTGAACAAGAACTAAACCAGAACTAAACCAGGACTGAACAAGAACTAAACCGGGACTAAACCAGAACTAAACCAGGTCTAAACCAGGACTAAACCAGAACTAAACCAGAATTGAACAAGAACTAAACCAGGACTAAACCAGGACTAGACCAGGACCAAACCAGAACTAAACCAGGTCTAAACCAGGACTAAACCAGGTCTAAACCAGGTCTAAACCAGGACTAAACCAGGTCTACACTAAACCAGAACTAAACCAGGACTAAACCAGGACTAAACAAACCTCAGATGTGTATCAGATGCCATCCCCATGTGTGTCAGGTGCCCTCCCGTGTGTGTGTGCGTGTCCCTCCCGTTGTGTGCCTGTCCCTGTCTCATGTGTGTGCGTGTCCCTCTCGTGTGTGTATGTGTCCCTCTCTCGTGTGTGTGCGTGTCCCTCCTTGTGTGTGTGCGTGTCCCTCCCGTGTGTGTGCGTGTCCCTCCTGCGTGTGTGCGTGTCCCTCTCGTGTGTGTGCGTGTCCCTCTCATGTGTGTGTGTGTGTCCCTCTCGTGTGCGTGCGTGTCCCTCTCGTGTGTGTGTACGTGTCCCTTTTGTGTGTGTGTGCGTGACCCTCTCGTGTGTGTGTGCGTGTCCCTCTCATGTGTGTGTGTGTGTCCCTCTCGTGTGCGTGCGTGTCCCTCTCGTGTGTGTGTACGTGTCCCTTTTGTGTGTGTGTACGCGTCCCTCTCGTGTGTGTGTGCGTGACCCTCTCGTGTGTGTGCTTGTCCCTCTCGTGTGTGTGCGTGTCCCTCGTGCGTGTGTGTGTGTCCCTTTTGTGTGTACGTGTCCCTCTCGTGTGTGTGCGTGTCCCTCTCGTGTGTGTGCGTGTCCCTCTCGTGTGTGTGCGTGTGTCCCTCCTCTCGTGTGTGTGCGTGTGTCCCGTGTCGTGTGTGTGTGTGTGCGTGTGTCCCTCTTGTGTGTGTGCGTGTCCCTCCTCTCGTGTGTGTGCGTGTGTATGTGCCTCTCGTGTGTGTGTGTGTGTGTATGTGCCTCTCGTGTGTGTGTGTGTCCTCTCGTGTGTGTGCGTGTCCCTTCCGTGTGTGTGTATGTGCCTCTCGTGTGTGTGTGTGTGTGTGCTCTCGTGTGTGTGTATGTGTGTGCCTCTCGTGTGTGCGTGTCCCTCTCGTGTGTGTATGTCCCTCTTGTGTGTGTGTCCCTCCAGTGTGTGTATGTGCCTCTCGTGTGTGTGTGTGCGTGTCCCTCTCGTATGTGTGTATGTCCCTCTCGTGTGTGTGTGTGTATGTGCCTCTCGTGTGTGTATGTGCCTGTCGTGTGTGTGCGTGTCCCTCCTCTCGTGTGTGTGTATGAACCTCTCGTGTGTGTATGTGCCTCTCGTGTGTGTGCGTGTCCCTCCTCTCGTGTCTGTGTGTATGTCCCTCTCATGTGTGTGTATGTGCCTATCATGTGTGCGAGTCCCTCTCGTGTGTGTATGTGCCTCTCGTGTGTGTGCGTGTCCCTCCTCTCGTGTGTGTGTGTATGTCCCTCTCGTGTGTGTGTATGTGCCTCTCGTGTGTGTGAGTCCCTCTTGTGTGTGTATGTCCCTCTTGTGTGTGCGTGTCCCTTTCGTGTGTGTGTATGTGCCTCTCGTGTGTGTGCGTGTCCCTCCTCTCGTGTGTGTGTATGTCCCGCTTGTGTGTGTGTATGTCCCTCTCGTGTGTGTGTGTGTGTGTCCCTCTCGTGTGTGTGTATGTCCCTCTCGTGTGTGTATGTGCCTGTCGTGTGTGTGTGTATGTCCCTCTCATGTGTGTGTGTATGTGCCTCTCGTGTGTGTGTGTGTATGTCCCTCTCTCGTGTGTGTGTATGTGCCTCTTGTGTGTGTATGTGCCTGTCGTGTGTGTGTATGTGCCTGTCGTGTGTGTATGTGCCTGTCGTGTGTGTGTGTGCCTGTCGTGTGTGTGTATGTGCCTGTCGTGTGTGCGTGTCTCTCGTGTGTGTGTATGTGCCTGTGTGTGTGTGTATGTGCCTGTCGTGTGTGTATGTGCCTGTCGTGTGTGTGTATGTGTGTATGTGCCTGTCGTGTGTGTGTATGTGCCTGTCGTGTGTGTGTATGTGCCTGTCGTGCGTGTGTATGTGCCTGTCGTGTGTGTATGTGTCTGTCGTGTGTGTGTATGTGCCTGTCCGTGTGTGCGTGTCTCTCTCGTGTGTGTATGTGCCTGTCGTGTGTGTGTATGTGCCTGTCGTGTGTGTATGTGCCTGTCGTGTTGTGTATGTGCCTGTCGTGTGTGTATGTGTGTCGTGTGTGTGTGTGTATGTGCCTGTCGTGTGTGTGTATGTGCCTGTCGTGTGTGTGCGTGTCTCTCTCGTGTGTGTATGTGCTTGTGTGTGTGTGTATGTGCCTGTCGTGTGTGTATGTGCCTGTCGTGTGTGTGTATGTGCCTGTCGTGTGTGTATGTGCCTGTCGTGTGTGTGTATGTGCCTGTCGTGTGTGTGTATGTGCCTGTCGTGTGTGTGTATGTGCCTGTCGTGTGTGTGTATGTGCCTGTTGTGTGTGTCGTGTGTGTATGTCCCTGTCGTGTGTGTATGTGCCTCTCTCGTGTGTGTGTATGTGCCTGTCGTGTGTGTATGTGCCTGTCGTGTGTGTATGTGCCTGTCGTGTGTGTGTGTGTGTGTATGTGCGTGTGTGTATGTGTGTCGTGTGTGTGCGTGTCTCTCTCGTGTGTGTATGTGCCTGTCGTGTGTGTATGTGCCTGTCGTGTGTGTGTATGTGCCTGTCGTGTGTGTGCGTGTCGTGTGTGTATGTGCCTGTCGTGTGTGTATGTGCCTGTCGTGTGTGTGTATGTGCCTGTCGTGTGTGTGTATGTGCCTGTCGTGTGTGTATGTGCCTGTCGTGTGTGTGTGTCGTGTGTGCATGTGTGTGTATGTGCCTGTCGTGTGTGTGTGTGTGTGTCCTCTCGTGTGTGTATGTGCTGTGTGTGTGTGTGTGTGTGTGTATGTGCCTGTCGTGTGTGTGTATGTGTCTCTCTCGTGTGTGTATGTGCCTGTCGTGTGTGTGTATGTGCCTGTCGTGTGTGTATGCTGTCTGTGTGCGTGTGTATGTGCCTTTCGTGTGTGTGTATGTGTGCCGTCGTGTGTCGGTGTGTGCGTGTGTCTCTCTCGTGTGTGTGTGTGTCGTGTGTGTCTCTCGTGTGTGTATGTGCCTGTCGTGTGTGTGTATGTGTGTGTGTCGTGTGTGTATTGTCCCTCTCGTGTGTGTGTGTATGTGTCCTGTCGTGTGTGTGCGTGTCTCTCGTGTGTGTATGTGCCTGTCGTGTGTGTATGTGCCTGTGTGTATGTGCCGTGTCGTGTGTGTGTCTCTTGTGTGTATGTGCCTGTCGTGTGTGTGTATGTGCCTGTCGTGCGTGTGTATGTGCCTGTCGTGCGTGTGTGTATGTGCCTGTCGTGCGTGTGTGTATGTGCCTGTCGTGTGTGTGTATGTGCCTGTCGTGTGTGTGCGTGTCTCTCTCGTGTGTGTATGTGCCTGTCGTGCGTGTGTATGTGCCTGTCGTGCCTGTCGTGTGTGTGTATGTGCCTGTCGTGTGTGTATGTGCCTGTCGTGTGTGTATGTGCCTGTCGTGTGTGTGTATGTGCCTGTCGTGTGTGTGTATGTGCCTGTCGTGTGTGTGTATGTGCCTGTCGTGTGTGTGCGTGTGTTGTCGTGTGTGATGTGTGTCTGTCGTGTGTGTAGTGTGCTGTGTCGTGTGTGTGTATGTGCCTGTCGTGTGTGTATGTGCCTGTCGTGTGTGTGTATGTGCCTGTGTGCGTGTGTATGTGCCTGCTGTGTGTGTGTCTGTTGTGTCGTGTCGTGTGTATGTGCCTGTGTCTGTGTGTGTATGTGTGTCGTGTGTGTGTCGTGTGTGTCGTGCGTGTGTATGTGTGTGTCGTGTGTATGTGCCTGTCGTGTGTGTATGTGCGTGTGCGTGTATGTGCCGTCGTGCGTGTGTGTGTGTGTCGTGTGTATGTGCCTGTATGTGTATGTGTGTGTGTGTATGTGTGTCTGTGTCGTGTGTGTATTGTGTCGTGTGTGTATTGCCTGTTGTCGTGTGTATGTGCCTGTCGTGTGTGTGTATGTGTGCGTGTGTGTTGTGTGTCTGTGTGTGTGCGTGTGTGTATGTGCCTGTCGTGTGTGTATGTGCCTGTCGTGCGTGTGTATGTGCCTGTCGTGTGTGTATGTGCCTGTCGTGTGTGTATGTGCTGTC